ATCCGTCCCTAGTGCTACGATTCCACGTTCTGATTTCTCCTGCTTGTGTCGCTAGCTAAGTAAACCGCGTGTGCACTGATATAAAGCTTTGCTTGCTGAGCGCCTTCTTGTCGCACCATTAATAAGGCTGAAGGACGACCCGCTTGCGTTCTTATCCAAGATTCTGCTTGACTGAGCGTGTTCTTCCGTGTCTGTCGAACAGGCACGACTTTACATGGGCTCCCTGCCTTGGACTCCCCAGGATCTCCTAGAAAAATCAGAACCATACCAGGAGTAGATTCACCCTTTGGGTCCTTTGGGTGCATCCCTAGGGGTACGAGTTCTTGATTGAACCTTGTGTTTAAGGCGCCGGGATGGGTGCAGTTTCGGGTCTAGAGAAAGCACCGTCCATGACAACGTTCTATATTCTCAGGCGAGAGACCAACAGACATCTGCTGCTGGCTGTCGTCAACGCATGGCAACTGATGGCTAGTGATCCCTGCCCGGCAAATTGTGTCGTATGTCGACCACGAGTTGATCCCCTTTGCTCGTGGCGTTTGGTGCGATCCAGTGCCGATAGAGAAGGTTGAGTGGCCCCCTGCACCAAACAATCGGAATCATGAGCCGTTACTCTGAAACAGGACTCGCAGTTCTGGAAGTCAGTTTGTTTCAATTCGGGGAACGGAGCCGAGGATGTTGCCGGGTTTGTTAGTTTTTGTTTTCGGGCGTCGCTGGTCTTCATGCCGTTGTCTCGACTCTCCAATTATTCTGGGGGTCCTGGTCGTGGCTTTTCGGTGCGTGACCTCGGTCGTCCGGGAGCCTCTTGAGTTCCGCCAACGGCGTGAGCTCGAAGCTCCTGAACACCTGCCTCGCCACGTAACCTACTAAAATAGGCATCGTTCCACCACGTATTGCGCGATTTCTTCCCAACAGCATCTCGAATAATGGGTTCTCGTTGATGGCGACCAGCTGTGAAGGCGTCGTGACGGGCACGCTATGTGGCAAACGTCTTGTTCAAGTTAGAAGAAGATCACGCAGAACGACGTTATGGCGGGTGTACGTAGTTGTAAAAGTCGTGCCTTGTTTTGTGCTTGCTTGAAACGAGAGGAGGGAGGACGGGTATCGCATGCTCTGCATGCATGTCGCTCTCAAACCCTAAACGCATCTAGACACTGAACCCTGCTGCATCCGGTGCCTCCGCCGTGTCGCTGAAGGAATCGGAACGACCAACTCAGAAGGCCCCGCTTCGGGACTACTGCAGTAGTATGTTAGGGTTTAGGGTTTGGGGTTTAGGGTTTAGGGTTTAGGGCTTAGGGTTTTAGGGTTTAGGGTTGGTCCATTTCCATGGACAGTCACTTTGCCAAAACGGGCCACCTCCCATTCGACCACAGAGGTAAGGCGCCCATCTGCATCTCGACATGGCTGGCGGCTGCGCTTCCCTAGTATCTCTCTTGCAGCTATCTCTTGCCTCATGCGACAGACTCCCCTTGAACATTGGCTCCCTCCCTGCAGCGAGCTGATATCGTTGCAGGCTTAGGATGTTCTGCTCCGCTTGGGCTTAGGAATTGCCACTTCTTTCAGGGCTTTAGGCTGTGCAGGGCCACTGCCTCCGGTGCTTCTCCCACTCCTTTTAGGATCCAGCGCTTGGCTTGTCGCTCGCTTAGACAGGTTTTGCATGTGTTGAAGCTCATGGGTCGCCACGGTTTCACGGTTTCAGACTCTCGTTTGGGTTTCATACGCCCCTGCTTTTTCGGGCGTGAGGCATCTGGCTTTAGGATTTTCCGCAACGCGCTTGGCAGGGACTGAAGATAGGCTTGCACACTTCATCCTCTGCCAACCCATCCCATCACCAGCAGTGTCTGTAGCCATGCTGCAACACTAGGCCTACAAGAATGCCATGGTTCTTGGGTTGAAACTGTCGACTCTCACACTCACACACGGCTGGGCTTGCCATTCACAAAATGCTTTGTTGACTGCATTCATGTTTGGGCCCACAGGCATGAAAGCCAATCTGAGCTCCAACCAGCTACTTTGCTGCGTGATGGTTTCCCGATTCTCACATACGCTGGATCCTGTTTCAAGGGCCCCTCTCAGGCAACTTTGCTGCCCTACACAGAGGGCCTGTTCAAGCCGCCTCCCCCCAAGGGTGTCTACGTCGAAGGTGCTTGGCGATTCAGCCAACCCCCATCTTTACCTTTCCATGCACAACCCAAAATGCTGCACAGATATGCGCAGGCACACAAGCAACTGCGTTCATGATGCATGCTGGTATTTGCATGCCGTGATTTGGGCTACCTCCTGCTTGCTTGGAGGGGGGGGTCAAGATGGTGGTATTTACGCTGTTGTTTTGTGCAAACCTGATCGGGTCACATAAGATCTGAAGACGTACGCTGTGGAAATCGCAAGCCCCATGGCAGGCTCCGCTCTACAGAAAACAACTTGGACATTGCAAACGTGTTGACACGAAAATCTCATGTAGATGTTAAGGGTGCTCCTGCATGCTGGCTCGGTTTTGGCTGGTTTTGATGTGGTGCAGTACCCGCTCCCTCAACTGTCAGAAGTTCGGCTCCAAAACACATGCTCTATCGTACAAAGCAGGCGCCTCTCATGACAAGCCGTCCGAATACGCAGCCGCAGCTACTACACTGCAAGGGTTCTCCGACAGAGTTCCACGGGGTCATGGTGCGCAAAGCGCTTTGCAGACCTTGTCTCTGCCCGAAAGCCAACGATACTGAAACCGCATGCCGATACGGAACATGTGCCTCAACATCACTAGGTCCAGGAGAAGCAGCCCATACTTGCGGAAGAAACTGCCCAAAGCACAACAACCACCCACCAAATCTACTCTCAAAGAAGCCAAGATCACGGAAATGGGAGCGAAGCGAAGCTCGAGGGGCCCCGAGATGAGCCTCCAACAAGCGGCAAAAAGCACACGCGTGCAGAGCCATGCCCTATGCCCTGAGAAGGCACACACAGTTCTGGCAGTAGCTTGAGAGGAAACCCATGGCGGGGTGGCCCTCCATGTCTCTTCCAGACTTCCGCCTGCATGAGACAGCAAAGAAACGTGACAAGCATCCAGAATCACACTCAGTTTTAGTGGAGTCGGGCGCTGCTGGGGCACTGCTCACAGTAGCTTGCGAAGATCTTATAAGTCGGCGCAGGGCTGTGCTGGGGCGTACTTCAACATGCAAAACGACGATCGTTGAAGGTTCACGGCGGTCTTCTTTCAAGAGCTTGGTACCCGGAAGAACCACGCTCGGACATGCCAAGTGCCACATATCCGGGGCCTTGGCCAGGGCGTAGCGAAGAATCCACAAGTTGCTGGAGCTACATGCAGCCAGACAAGAATAGTGAGCCTTACTTTCCTCATATTTGTCTGCGAGCGTCGTCCACGCAGAGAAACTGCTAGGCACATGGCCCGCACCTAAACTACTCATCCTGCCTCGAATTTACCTTGGCTCAGGAAGCTGGTTCTCAATGGTTTTGTTGAGTCGCCATCATGCACCTACCGCTGCCATGCCGTTCGAAATAAGCTCCCAAAGAAGGGATCTTGCTTCCACATCTAGGTCTACTAAGTATTGTGCTCACTTGCCGGCTCTGAGAGACAATGTTTGCCTCCAGCCTAGACGAACCGTCACACGTGTCGTGGGCACGCACGTCTGTGTGGGCAGCGCATCTTTTCAGTGAGTCGCCCGGGAATCCCCCTTAAGTTTTGGCACAGCGCGGGCAACTACACAGGCCACGGCACCTACGTGCCCCAGCCACAACCGCATGTCAGAACCCGAAGAGATGGAACCCTGATCCCTGTAAGCCGTAAGCTGGACTTGATGACTGCCTGAACCCTTTTTTGGATCTGAACCTTTTTGGATCCCTTTTATAACCCCCTGCACACCTTCAACCAGAAACCCTCACACCCTAAACCCTAAACCCTAAACGCTAAACCCTAAACCCTAAACCCTAAACCCAAACCCTAAACCTTAAACCCTAAACCTCACACCCTAACACATGAGCCTCACGGGGGCCCACCCTCATGGTGCGCCCAGGCGCGGTGAAACAGGTCGACGGCAGGCATGTAAACCCCTCCCCAACAGTGCCCCTGGGGCTTAGGGATCCCTTGTTTAGGGTTTAGGGTTTAGGGTTTAGGGGTTAGGGTTTAGGGTTTAGGGTTTAGGGTCTAGGGTCTAGGGTCTAGGGTCTAGGGTTTAGGGTTTAGGGTTTAGGGTTTAGGGTTTAGGGTTTAGGGTTTAGGGTTTAGGGTTGCTGAGGCTGGCTGAGGGCTCAAAACCCTCAACCCTTTTTTGCGACGGGGCTGGGGACTAGTCTAGACCCTCAACCCTAACCTCCTTGTCGGTGTTCGGGAGTTTTTTCGGTACACTTCTCGACTTGCGCGTATCATCCTTGCGCAGGGGCCATGCTAATCTTCTCTGTATCGTTCCCATCTTAGGGCCTGAAACCCTACTCACTCAACCGGTTCACTTGATAAGTTCTAAGAAGCTATCCTCACAATAGCAAGTCCCGGCCAGGATTCTGGTACGAGTTTGCGGGGTTAGGGGTTAGGGTCTGATGCCGGGCGAAAAAGCGACCAAAACCTGAAAACCTAGTCTCGGATCACGGTTGTTCGCCCCCGGTTCATCCGCTTCATGACCTCCAAGGCGGTAGCAGAGAACGTGGCAACAGCAGCAACGTGCATTTCTGGCTAGTGGCTCCGTGCAGCACCATTTAGTGCAAGAAGCCCAAGAAGTGAGAATGGCACGTGAGAGCCGGCCACAACAGCAAGAGCATCAAGTGGGAGACAAACCTCCGTAATTTGCCGTGCAAATGCTTTCACCTCAATCCACTCCACTCCACTCACAGCTTGAGACATGCGCTACTTTTGTATCATCCTCAACACATCAGAGCAACTAAGTGGTCCTGAAGGTCCTGAAGCGTCCCAAAGTCACAACATTTTGGCAAAAAAGCAAATCCAGCAAGATCTCCCTTCCAATCCTTCAAACTACTCAGAACCTACTCTGAGTCTCAGCCTGCTCGAACTCCTCGTCGATGGCCAGGTTCGCTTCGACCACGCCCACCGCATTCTCGGCAGTGAAGGAGCCTCGCTGATGGGAGCGGCACGGTCTCCCGAAAGCTCTCGAAATCGCGCGAACTCTCTCTTTTTGGGAGGGCAGGACGTGTGACCGCCAGCTCCAGCTCCTCTGAACCCCTCGCCCTAAATCCCCATCTTCCACTTCCGAAGCTTCTGTTGATATGGGACTGCTCTTGGCTTCCTCTGGGCTTCCCGGGCTGCTGTGCGTCGTGAACGCCACCATCCTCAGCATCCTCAGCTTCCTCGGCTTTAGGACAGCGAGGGCTCAACACACCAAGAAGCGCTGCACAAGGTGTCCTCAAACCTACAGTCGGAGAACCAGGGGCAAAACTTTGAATAGATAGGGGCAAAACTTTGAATAGATAATTCGGTTGGATCGCATGCCACCATGCAGCCCAGCCACCGCACAGCCCTCCGGAAGCGTGCCAGCGGGTAGTCGCTTTTGGCCCGCGGCCGGGCCTCAATCATGGTGCTATCAGGGTGGGGTTCCCAGGAATCTCAGCTCACAAAACACACAGACACAGGCCCCTCACCTCCCCGCAGCCATCAACCCCCTGGCCTGAAACGTCGCTGCGACGCCACTCTCAGGCGCCAGGAAATAGTTCCTGAGGCAGGAGACAAAGGCGAACCGGAACATTCCAAACAAGGAGAGGAACTTCAGCAAATAACGGGGGGAATCCCTGGACCGAACCCCAGAGAACCCCAAACAGAATCCCAGATTATACCTGGAGCACCACCCAGGAAGCCTGCAGAGATCCACAGAGTACCCCTTTTCCAACCGACAGCAGTGCCCATCTCATGTCTCAGCCCGCACGTGCCGAGCTGCGAGACAAGCTCCGCATAGTCAACTGTTCCCTGACCTTGGCGCATGCTCACCGGGTGGTGATACGGGCCGGTGCTGCAATGACGAGCACCCATGATGAATTGCTTCCAGCAACAGCGAGTGTTTGCCACGCATCATCTTGTCACCATCTGGCAAAAGATCCGGTCCACTCAGGTCGACGCTGTCCATGGTGACATGCTGCAACATCTCCTGAGCAAGGCAAGGATGCAACATGCTGAGCAAAAGTCCAAGTTGTTGACGTGCTGGCCGGAAGCTCGGACTATTCTGAACGGCTAATCATCGCTAAGCACCTGCTCTGCTCCTGAATGGACAAAACACATCGTTCACAGTGATACTCTCAGCCTTTACACATCTTGCGGAACTGTCCTCCATCTCCTTCTCTCCAAAGCTGTAGCCTGCTCAAGAGCCATAGAGGATCGAAGGCGCGTGGCTTCGGAGTCTGTGCCATCTAAGATCTAATGAGTATGCATCGGATCTGGCTCGTCTGAACTGCAGGGGTCCACAATCCGCGGGCCCAGCACAATCCTCTTAGCATCATCTACGGCTGATTCTGCCCTGCTTGTGGCAGCAAGGACCACCCCCTAATGTTGTCCTGCAGCGGGGAGAATAGCTAGTGGGAAGCACACAGGTGACCCAGTAGCACCTCCCATCTGCATGATCCGCAGCAACTCCTGCTGATCAGTTTCAAATGGAAAGCTGTGAGCTCCTTCCAAAGGCAAGATAGACTTGAAGTTTCCTGCAGCAGTAGCAGCAGAGGCAGTAGCAGCACAGTAGAGCAAGGCAGTCCACATGTAAGCTCCTGCTTGGAAAGCCGTCCGCAGCCCGCCGGGTCGAACAACCGGAAACTGCTCAGCAACTCCGACGCCTGCCAAGACTTCAAGATAAGCTAGGTTCCTCTTGTGCTTGAGTCCATGGGCTCTGCATTTTCTCAAAAAGGTTGTAAGCTGCCTCATATGTACGAGTCTGCGGATTGCTGCTGTTGACAAGTCTGTGGCCTGGTCTTTCGACAGCCACTCGCTCACTGCCTCCTGCCCAATGGCGTCGCGCTTGTGACCCCCACATTCTTGAACCCTTTTTTTGGGGCACCGGGAAGCTGGGATGCAACCTAAACCCCACCAAAGGTTCACATCCCAAACTCAGCCCCTCACCAAAAACCCCCCTGCATACATGACCCCAAAGGTCCCCGAACTTCCCAACACCCGGACCTTGATGCGCCCTGACTCGAACCCTCTCGGCTCCTCCATGACCTGGCGCAGTGCTGCTGCGTCGAAGGCACTGGGGTGGCCCAGGCGCTCCAAGAGATGGGAGACCTGGGGTTCATTCGAAGGAGTTGAGAAAAAAAATAAACAGATACGCTTGCGGAAGGGAGGTCGACGGCCGTCTCTAGTCCAGTGACGCAATGTGGACTCTAGAGTCTAGAATGAACCTAGACCTTTGAAATGCACACACCCAAACCAACCACGGGGCCCATGCCTAAAAAACCAAAAGGAAAAGCAAAAACCCAAACGCACGTTGTTGGAATGTGTTTTATCACGGGGGCCTCTGCAAGTCCCTCCGGTGCATCCTAAACTGCACGGAGAGCTTTCAACCCTTGCACATTGCACCTCCGCGTGCGTCGGGTTCGTCCCGGCCAGGCGGAGGGCATCACCCAGCCGTTCCGCGGCCAAGTAGCCCGAGCCCTCCTTCACGTGGGCTTCAGGTGCTTGGGTCGGAGTCGATGGGGACTGGGCTCAGAATCACGGAGGGGTGGGGAACTTTCGGGGCTTCCGAGTTGAAGCCACCCTTGAGGTAGCAGCAAGCACTGAAGCTCTAGAGCGTCGGTCACCGCACAGTGCATGTCCAGCTTGCTGAAAAACCGAAGCCGAGCCTTGTCAAAGGTCTCAAAAATCTTGGCGACCGCTGCCTCAAGAGCATCTCTCTTCCCATCAAACATCGACAGTTAACGAGAGTGCGCACATCGGGCTTGGTAGGGAGCTGCTCCTAGACGGGTCTGCACGCGCGACGCCCAGCACCGAGTAGCAGACTTCGCAGTCGTAGGTCATGCTGCCTGAGGTGCCATGCGACGCGAGATGCACACACAGAGAAAGTGCCCTGTTTCTCTCATACAGAGATATACAAGGGATTTCCGACCCTAGATGCACTCTCCACCCACCAAATTCGCCCCTTCGAGTCGAAAGCCCGGGCAGATCCTTCACAGATGTGGGGAGAGGAGTCAACCAACCCTAATCAAACTCTTAACTCGGAAGCCCTGCAGGCCCCACCTCGCCAAGGGAGCCACGGCTAGATGATCAAAGCCGAGTAAGGAAATGTGCTGTGTGTGTGTATATTGCTGCATGGAGGCTTTCTTTGGAAAGAGCAACTAGATGGCCCAAGCTGGCCCTAGCCAAAGCGTCGTATGGCAACTGCTTCTGATTGCTTCTGCTCATCGTTCAATGGTTTATGGAGTGTCTGACGTCTGGTGTCTGCCGATTGATGATGCGAGCCATCTGGCAAAACGGCAAAGCCACACCACGGACAACTCAAAGCAAGACCCTGAATCCCAACAGAATCTAGCCCCTAAACATCCTTATTTGCACTTAGACCATGCAACACGAACACATCCAGCTGCAAACGAAACAGTTGAAACGCTCCCCTGTTTACGGCGAAGGCCTCGGCTGTCCCCCCCAAACAGCACGGATGCTTGTGCCCCGAGTTCTGTGGGAATGGGTGAAACACACGCTGGCTTTTTGGAGAAGATGCCGGGGTCTTGAGGCGGTGTACAACAACCTCTGAAACCCCAAGGGTCTTCACAAGCTCCCGCGTTCGTAGATGTACAGCCCTGACAGTCATGGCCATCAGAGACAGAAGGCCAGAAGATCACAGTTTTGGAGATCTTCGATGGCCAAATCTATTGGCGAAGGCTCACGGCGCTTTCTAGGCCCCAAAGACAAACCCTCACTGGGCCACGGCATTCTGCTCAGCGGCCTCTTTGTTGGCCTCAGCTGCGGGTTCCGCCGGTTCCCGCAGGCGTTCCAGCTCCTCCCGCTTGGTGCGCAGGTCCTCGCGCAAGCGCTCCACCTGCGCCACTGACAAGTACTGCAATCCTTACTATAGGATCCCCGAAAAAGGGTACCCCTATTTTCGGAAAGCCCCACATGGCTAAGCCAGGTTCCTGCTGGCATCTCTTGTAAGAACCCCGCTAAGGGCTAGGAGCGATCCAGGGTTCGGTGCGCCTTGCTCTCCAGCTTTCGGACCAAGTCCCAGGCATTCTCCTGTGCATCCGAGCCCGCATCTGAGCAATAGCCCAAGTCTGAACCTGCAGGCCCCAATCCGCCACACGATTAACGCCAATGCCCACAAAATCAACAAAGCCGCTTTCACGGCGTCTCCTCCATCCGACCGGTAACCTGTGTGAGGCCGCTGACAGGCGGAATCGCGGAGGCGGCCAGCTGCGCGCGTAGCACACGCACCTGCTTCTCGGGGCGAGCTCGCAAGAGCAAAAGAGAGATACACTCTGGAGAGCAGTGGAGGAAAGAGAGATAGCGGAGTAAGAGAGACTGCTGAAACCCGAAAACGACGTTCTTCGGCGTCCCGGGTCGGAAAGGAAACGCCAGACTCCCCCCCCAAACCCTCCCGGATCAAGGCGGAGGCCTGATCCTGGAGGTCCCTTCCGTGGCGTTCCAAGGACTGCTCCCGCTGCCGGGCCGCGGCCTCCGTGGCCTCTGGCATGAAGGTTTCGAAAGCGAGTTTACGAAAATAGGGGAGCCCTAAAAATAGACCCCCCAAACAGTGGGATCCCCTGAAATAAGGATCCTAACAAGGTACCCCCCTAATTTTGGAAACGCCCGAATTGGTTTGGGAATCTTTGGGATTTCTTCCAGGCTTGCCACATTTTCTGTACACATGTTTGACGCCACCAGCGACCGAAAGAGTGAGCACTCAGGGTGATAATAGGTTTCCACCCTATGCCCCTACCGTAGGCATCGGTAAGGGACCGATTCGCTATGGTCATAACCGTATTTAGGGTACTTATAAGCAACCATGAATTTAAAACCCTACACCCTAAACCCTAAACCCCAAACCCCAAACCCTAAACCCTAAACCCCAAACTTTACCTTAAAGAGAACCGGCCTGGAGCGCCGCCATCTTCCGCCAAGCCCGAGACTCGGCCTCCCGGGCCGCCGCCGCTCCGGAGCTCAGGGCCTTGGCCTCCCGGCGGAGCACCTGCTGAGAAGACCGTTTAAGGTTAAGGGTTTAGGGTTTAGGGATTAGGGTTTAGAGTTTAGGGTTTAGGGTTTAGGGTTTAGGGTGTAGGGTTTAGGGTTTAGGGTTTAGGGTTTAGGGTTTAGGGTTTAGGGTTTAGGGTTTAGGGTTAGGGTTTAGGGTTTAGGGTTTTAGGGTTTGGGATTTTAGGGTTTCGGGTTTAGGGTTTCGGGTTTAGGGTTTCGGGTTTAGGGTTTAGGGTTTCGGGTTTAGGGTTTAGGGTTTACAGATGCGCAGTCCGTCAGTAGGGTGTGTCTGTGTCGGTGTGCGCGCGCTCAGCACACTTTGCATCGTGGCGATGCAAATGTCGCCAAAGCTTTGCATGCGGGCTCCCTTTGTTGCAGCAAGCAATACCAGTTTGTTGGTCTATGGCTGGGGTGTTTATCAATCGCTGCAGTATCTCTTGAGACGCCAAACTTGAAACCCAACTCCGGCCCAAGAGCCCGCGTGGGCCAAACTTGAAACCCAAATCCGGGCCAAAGCCCCTCGTGGGTGCATGAGTGCATGGCATATGCTGTTCTTAGTGCTAGGCCCCCAGATTCGCCGTGAAAAGAACAGCTTGCGGTTGATGAATCGCACAGAATGCCCGTAGCGACGGTTTCTCATGATTGTTTGAAATCACAAGCAAATTCTCTGTGGATCACACGTCAAGGCCAGCTCAACCCAAAGCACCCCATACCAGTCCCGCAAGTCCCTTAAACACAGCCATTCGAACCCCTGTGCCGTCCTCCGGTCAAAACAAATCGCTTGGTAGAAATCACACATTCGCAAGCTCCAGGCTTTTAAGGCCCCTAAACCCTTTTGAGCAACGGACTTTGGAGGCTGCCGGCAAACATGCAAATTCTCAGAAGTCACATCACCCCTAAACCCTAAACCCTAAACCCTAAACCCTTTTTTTGCATCCGAAACCATAAACCGTAAACCCTCAAAACCCTAAATACTCAACCCTGAACCCTTTTGCAACAGGGCTTGGGGACTAGCCAGATTCATCGCCCCTAAACCCTAAACCCTAAACCCTAAACCCTAAACCCTAAACCCTAAACCCTAAACCCTAAACCCTAAACCCGAAACCCTAAACCCTAAACCCCCCTTTCAAGGCTTCCTTTGGTCGAACCCCCCACCTCGCACCGGGACTGGAGCTGCGCGACCAGCGTGGTCTCCTGGCGCACCGCATCCTGGAGCTCCTTCCGACCCAGACTTCTAAGGTGTTTTGGCTTCTTCGGGCGAACATATTCATGTATATGTATATAATTGTATATATGTATAATATGTATATATTCAGACCCCTCGTACGTTTTCTGGTGCATGTGTGCTTCGTGTTAGGCTAAGTTCGAGAAATGCGCGCTCGCTTCATGCCTGCAGCCCAACCGACAGCTGTTGCCGCGACGCTTCCAGTGATGCCACGCGCGTGGTCTTCGCTGCCATGTCACTGCCCCTTCCGCCATTCCTTAGTTGAGACTCTCGCCCAGATGATCAAAAAATCCTACCTTCACTGGACTCAGGGAAAGAGACAGATTGCAAAGATAGCCAGCAGATGCCAGGAAGCCTCTCGACTTCCAGCAAAACCCTGCCCCTTCCCGCCCCCAGCAGAACCCTCGCCCTTCTTCCACTTCAGTAAACCTGCGGAAAGCTCATTGCGAGCGGCGAGGGCTCCTCACCAGAGTCCGACGCCCGCGCCAAGGCCTCCGCACAGCGGCGCTCCTGCTCGGCAAAGCGCCGCTCGGCCTCGCCCGTCTCACGCAGCAGCGCCTCCACCGCAAGGCGCGGCTGCGTTTGCACAGCACTTGCACAGCATTCTGCAATATTTTGCATAGCATTTGCCAGTGTAAGGGCTCTAAGTTCCAACACCTAACCTCAACCTGCAAGTGCATCGGGAGCTTTGAAACAATCGGTGTGCGGTTCAGGCTCTGCGGCATTGTTGTTCTACATGTGAGTACCCCCATTGTTGTCGGCACAATCTGGACAGACTCACAATACTCTTCTGACCTTACAATACTTTTCTGACCTTCGCGCTTTTGAGTCCAAAATGCAAGCATCCCCTTGACCCCTGAAAAAAAAAAAACTGTAGATGGGAACAAAGAGTAATTGCCAACAGCATAACAGGTGTTAGACCAGCGCAGGATCGACACTTCAGGCTAAGCCGGCAACTCCAAAGGGAGAACCAACAGCAACAGCACAAAATCTTGCTACTTTGAGAAGACTCGCGCTTGTTGAAGGTTAAGGATGGTTAGGTCAGCGAAGCTTTCGAGAGGAGCACCCAATGGCGATGGCGATGGCCGGGGCCGCGCCTCGCGCTCCGGCTGCTCGGCAGCCCAGCGGCGACGAAGCTCTGCCAACTCCGCCTGATTCCCGTCGGCCTCCGCCTGGACCCGGTCCAGCTCCTTGAAGCTTGTTGGAGAAGGGACGTGAAGAGAGCTAAGAGGAGATGTAATGAGATGTATGGATAAACGCAACCAGGTCTTTGACGCGACTTTGCAAAAACAAATCTCCTGCTTCACAGCCAAGGCCATCTTGCGCTGCGCCTGCCGAACTTGGGCCCATGTTACTATGGTGATTGTTGGCTATGATGGTTTTTATTATGCCACTAGAACTATGACCATTGCTATTCTGATGATTATGAGTATTCTGATTTTTCTGAGTCTTGTGGTGATTATTTTTAGCACATTTATGATTATGCTTTCCGCGCCTTTCTACCTCTGCGTTCCGGAGTCTGCGGTCAGCCTACCGATAGTATTCCAATTCTTTTGATGATTAGATTATGATGATTGTACGATGATTATGATGACTATGACTATGATGATTACTATGATTCCTACTATGATTACTAGATGATTATTTTGATTCCTGTTCTTTGTATTATTCTTATTATTTTCCTTATAATTATTAGTGTTATTATGACTATGATTATGGCTAGCATGAATGATTACCATGATTGATATCTTACCCGCGGCATCCTGCGACCACGAAGACTGCACGGTCGCAAAACAGAGTAGCAGGCTGACCACCCGTCAGAAAGATGTTTAGATGGCGTTCCGTTTCGGAATTTTGATTCCCGACTGACCAAGTTTTTTTCCGGTGCACGCGTACTTGTCAGACAAGTGACCATTGTCTTGCACATTTCAAACATAACCTCAATTTTCAAAAGTAACTTGGCCGAGAGCCGAGAAGCCAAGAAAATAAGCAAACACGCGGAGGGTCGGTTGCAAGGGATGCAGATTCTGCGTATGCTCCACGCAAGCTCCGCATGAGCTGCGTAAGGAAAGCCATTGCCAAGCCACGCGCACCACATTTTCATAGCAGAATCCTCAGCATTTGGGCAACACCAAAATCAAATGCCAGTCCATATTGGCTACACCGGAATACCCTTCTCGTCTTTGCGATGGTCCCCCTATCGAATGCCAGCGCAGTTGAGAAACCCGAAGCATGCCGAAACCTGATTCAGTACTTCAGGTTGAAATCTATAGTGGCGTGTCGCATTCGAAATCAGACCACACTGTGATTAAAACGTTTGGCCACTGGATTGTTCGGCGGCCAATGTGCCTGGCCGTTTGTAGTGTATATATGTACTCGTCAATCTTCGCAGTTATGCTAGCAGTAATCATACTTCCCTGGAGGAGTCACAGAAAACATGGGTAATGTTTACCACTGTGGCTTACTACCAGTATGTATAAAAAAAGGGTTTCAGTGTATTTCCGGCGCGCCTCCACCTCCGCCCGAACGTTGGTGAGGCGGTCGCGCAGTGCTGCTGCATAGCTGCCCACATCATCCGATGGCGAAGCCACCCCATTCATACATGGCGACTTAGAGCCTTCATCTACCTGCCACTTTGGGCACGCCCTCTGGGGCAACCTTTCTGAAAAACCGTGGCGTGTAGGCTTGCCGAGAGTGGCTGGCTCAAACTCTCCGTCCCCATGGCATGGCCTCGACATTCCCAAACCCAAGTGTTTCCTTTTGCTTTACGATTGCTTTGAACCAGAACATCTTCCGAAACATGGGTAGCATTGCTGTGTTCGGCAGGTAATGTAGGCACGACGCGAAAGTGCAGCCGCTGTATACAGCGGAGGAGTTGGCGCTGGATTGTGTTTTTTTTCCGGTTCGTGTCCGCACAAAAGGCTGGGTTCGCACCTTTCTTGAATGGGTTGAGTGAGTGAAATGGCCCACAGATGTTACTGCGGCCGACACCATCCCCCCCCCCCAGCCGTATCGCAAAGCAGCAAAGGGAACGTCATCGCCGCTCTCCACGAAGGGTTCGAGATGGCGGGTAATTTATTATACAACCAAGCATCCTTGACTTGAGGGACAGTGGCCCGAGAGGCTGGGAGTACTAACTACTACAAGGCACAGGAACAGGACTCGGAGTAGCGAAAGGCCTAGAAATCCTCAAATCAGCACAAGTCCAGTATTTAGAGACGAGAGATGGGACTTGTGGCATTTTAAACCACTTTCCTGTCAGAGTGATGTGGCAAAGCCAAAACTGCACCTGACAGCCCTCTGTCCCAGACCCAGGAGTGAGGGTGGGCCTGTTTGGCAGTGACCGAACCATAACACTTTTAGGGCCTGGATCCCCCTGGATTTCCAGGTGCAGTCTGCGGCTCTCAAACTTGGGCCCAAAGCCTGGCCACAGCACCTCGCTGCACTGATCCTGCGCCGGTTTCAAACCGGCTTCTCCTTCACCTTCGTGGGATGGCGGCTGCGTGCTGCGACGCCTGGCTGCTGAGGGACACGCCCCGCTCACTTTAAGAGCTGCGGCAGCTAGCGCAAGGGGTAGCTGAAGACTGGCCACCCTTGCTCTCTCGCTCTCGTGCTGTCCGTACTGAACGTAGACTCCTCCTGCGCCCCGCGTAGAAGTTGGGAGGTGGCCGCGGCAAGGTGGCTTCCGCCAAACGAAACGATACAGAGACCCGAGCATGGTACCCGCTGCGAATGTAGCGGAAACCTACAACAAGGCGCTGACAGCACTGTGTGGCAGGCCGGATAGGCGCGAGAGTTCCGCAGGGGGACACATTCCAGGGTCATGGTGACGTCACCCTGCCCCTCACGCAGGAGCTTGACCAGTGTTGTAGGTGACGGCTTCGCAATCCTTCGACATCCTTTTTTTTTCTCGGACTTTTACGCCTGCTGATCCGTTCGGTCGGCTAAGCTGTTCCTAAACTACCCGGGCTGTAGTTATGCCCGCAAAGGCAGCCGGCTTGGGTCGGGCGGCCCAGGCTCCAGGAGGTGGTCAAGCGGTGGGGCAGGCTCGTCGGCCGCGGTGGAAGCGGACGGCCACGTACGACCCAGGGCCGTGGTGCCCACGGCCTGTTGAACGGCGACCGAGATGATGCTCCACCAACGTCTTGCCCAGCCGGATGCGGCCGCGCGGCGCACTGTTGGCGGCGCGCGGCATGCGCGAATGCGGACCATGTCGCGCATGAATCGCAGGGCCCCGCCATTCCAGCGACCCCCGACCTCCGAGCCGAGCACGACGAGCCGCTGGGGCCCGCCGCCCGTGAGCTCCGGGTAGGCCGCCTGTTTGCGTCGTTCAGCAACGCGGAGCGCTGCCCCATCCGTGTCGGCGGCGCATGGTTGCGGTTGCCCCGTGCGCGTCAAGGGCGACACGAGGGTAGCGTCGCAGCACAGCGCGATGCCCATGGGCGTGGCCCCGTAAACCAGCATGTCCAGCCGCCTGCGGTCATTTGCCGCGACTCCTGGTGCCGAGGTGTGTCCCAACCATTGTTGGGGCACTACTTGTCCTCCGCATCCCGGCGAGGGGCCGCACTGGCCAGCGGTAAGCTGTAACGGCAGCCGCAACCTGCGGCGCATGGTGGCAAGGTCGTCATTGCGTCACCGGGAATCGCCGACAGCCAAGCGCCGCCATGGAGACCAGATTGGGACCGTAACACTGCTCGACGAGCAGGCGGCAATGACGGCAGCAGCACACGGTCGCGAAAGTACAAGTTCCGAGTGCGCGATGCATGTTGCTGCCATCCATGCGGCCAATCGCCCAGCTGAGGTTCCGCGGCTGGTTCCGGTCGCTGGTTTCCTGCTACATCCTGCCATGTGGGGCACGCCTCCCAGCCTTCCGTGAGGAGCAACGTGCGGGCATCCGCCGCATGGCGGAGGCACGCCATTTCGGCCCCTCCCCGCTGGAGTGTTTCGACGCAGTGCGCCGCAAAAACCGGGAGCCTGGCCCCCATGACTAGCAAGGCGTCCGCCCAAGCTGCCCAGTAAGCCGCCGGCGCCGAGCGCGTCGCCGACTGCAGACCTAAGCCACCTAACGCTGCCGGCAGGAAAGCGGTCGCCCGCGCGAGGTGCGCATCCTCTGGTGGGGCCCCTGCCTCGCCGCCCAAGCAGTCCAGTAGCGTGTGCCAGATGGCATCGTCATGGCCTGCGGCATACGAGGCAATGACGGTTGGGGGCACCGTGCGCAGCGCGTGGTTCGCGCGCGGAGACGCGCAGAGCGCGAGCAGCAACCATGAACATTGCAGGTCAGGGAGCTGGGGCAGTTGCTGCAGGAGTTGTTGCTCTTCGAGCAGCCGGTGCACCGCCCAGGCATGCACGAAATCCGTGTGGCCTACAGGGGAGCCCAGCACAACCATGCCTCGCTCGTGCGAGGGCCGGTCCCCCCTCCACACGTCGGGCCCAAGCTCAGCCAGGCCCGGCGGAGCAGACCCCTCCGAGCCTCCGAGCCCTCGCGTTTTGCCAAGATTGGATGCGATGCCACAGTGCTCCTCCACTGCCCCGGTCACCGTGTCGAGTGCCGGACGTGCTCTTGCCGCCACCGTGATGACGTAGAGGTCATCAAGGAATGCCAGCAGCTTGTCGGTTGGATCGAGGTCGCCGGCTGCCCGTGCGAGAGCACCGTGTTGCCCCAAGGCAAATAACGCGGGGGCCAGCGGGTCGCCCTGCTCGCAGCCCTCGGCCTGGTGGACATCACGCCTCACGAGCTATAGGTGGAGGGGCGACCATAGAACATGCGCACGAAAGGCAGCAGTTCTGGCGCCACTTCCTGCAACTTGACCAGGAAAGCCGCTCGCGAGATGCTATCGTAGGCACTGCGGCCATCGAGCGAAACGACGACTACATCCTCGCGCGAGTCCAGCGCCGCTCGGACGGTCGCAACGATGGCATCAGTGCCCGCCCGCGACTGGAGTGCGTACTGGTACGGTCGCGTGGCGTGGTTGAGAGCGATTCGGATCCTTACTGCTTTGCGAAAGCCCGCGCGACGAGGCGACGGAATGCGTCGCCTGTGGCTATGCCGCGGACCCCGCCGTCAGGCTTTTGGAAAGCCGTCAATCGGGCCATGGCAACGGCGGCGGCCACTTCGGCGGGCACACGGGCCCGGGCCAATTGCGTGGCGGCGTGGGCCAGGAGCTCCTGCGCGGGGATATCCTGCAACAGCAGCTTAAGGTGCTCAGCCCGCATGCCGGACAGGCCTGGTGCGCCCCCGCGGCGCGCATCTCGCAGCGCGGACGCCACAGCTTTTGGCGTCAGGGTCACGGGCTCTGCTGGCTCGTGTGCGAGGGTGTCC